GTAGTAACTTCATTAACAGCTTCACTGTTTTCCTTCTCAAAACCGTGTAGAATTTCTTCTTCGACAGTGGCTTTTTCAGGTGACACGTCTTCAGCAGTGTCATTTGTCTTGTTGTTCATTTCGTTCCAACTGAAATGACCTGGCCCGTGATAATGCCAAAGCGTGTTGGCATGCACCACCTTCGGCTTACCTCGCCGACCACATTTTATCTGGAAAGTCACGTGTGAGAGACGATCCACTATGTCCTATGGGCCTTCACATGGAGAAGACAACTTAGGATACTTCCCTTTGGTCCTTCTAGGATTATACAATCACACCTTGTCTCCTGGTACAAAGCTGACTTCAGTGGATTTCTTATCATAACATAGCTTAATGGAATCAGCAGACGTTTTTAAGTTTGAATGCACTTGATGATGAATATCATCCATCCTTTCAAATAACACTTTCACGAACTCTGACACATTTTCAGGCAACTTTTCGTAAGGTGGGCGTCGTGTTATCAGGTCCACTGCTGACCGAAGTTCCCGACCGAACATCAGCTTTGCTGGAGTGTATCCAGTGGCTTCATGCTCTGCTGTTCCATAGGCCATCAACAGTAGAGGGTGTAAGACATCCCAGTCATCTTGGTGACTATTACAAAGCTTTACCAATTCGTGTCCTAGTGTCCAATTGTACTTTTCTACCATCCCATCAAACTGTGGGTGAAGTGGCATTGTCCTAGTCTTTCGTATGCCAAACAACTTGCAGTATTCATGGAACACAGCTGATTCAAAGTTACGGCCTTGATCTGAATGCAGTTCGTATGGCATACCAAACCTGAAGAAGAAATCACTAATAGCCGAAGCTACAGTTGTAGCTTCCTGATTTTATATTACATATGCCTTAGGTCACTTGGTGAAAGAATCCATCACCACACTAATGTACTTGTTTCCAGCACGAGTTTGGGGCAATGGCCCAGCAATGTCAATGGCTACTTTTTCCTATAGTGCACCAACTTGATATAACATCATTGGAGCACGTCCCTTATGCTTGGGTCCCCTTTTAGCAAAACATATACTGCAGGTCCTGCACCAATCTTCCACATCTTGCCTCATACCTATCCAGTAAAATCTCTGTCATAGGTAACTCAATGTCTTCTTAACTCCAACATGTCCTCCTGTTAAACTATCATGGGATTAACGCAGCACAACTTTCCATAGCTTTCTCGGTATAACTGTTTGCCAGGTCGGCACTTTCCCATCTCCGGAGAAGAATACCATCTTCAAGCTTCAACAGGTCACATTGTGCCCAATAGTTCTTTGTTATAGGGCT